CTGCACTCCAGTCTGGGCGACAGAGTGAAACTCCAACTCAAAAAAAAAAAAATTTTTTTTGTAAAGATGAGGCCTCACTATGTTTCCCAGACTGATCTTGAACTCTGGGCTCAAGCAATCCCCCTGCCTCAACCTTTCAAAGTGCTGGGATGACAGGCACGAGCCACAACACCTGGCCTAAATGACCACTTTAAAACAAGTTAGTTTGGCCAGGCGTGGTAGCTCACACCTGTAATCCCAGCACTTTGGGAGGCTGGGGTGAGAGGATTGCCTGAACCCATGGGTATGAGACCAGCCCAGGCAACTTGGAGAGACCTATCTCTACAATAAATTTAAAAATTAGCCGGTGGCACATGCCTATAATTCCAGCAGCTTGGAAGGCTGAGGCGGAAGGATCGCGTGAGCCCAGCAGGTCGAGGCTGTGGTGACCATGAGTGGGCCACTGCCCTCCAGCCTGGGCAGCAGAGTGAGATTCCGACTCAAAAAAAAAAAAATGGAAAAAGGAAACACTAACATTGCATGCCACTGCCCTCCAGCCTGGGTGACAAAATGAGACTCCAACTCAAAAAAAAACCCCATAAAACAAGTTAGTTCACCCACAGACACGAGCCCCTCCCCGATGTTAAGTTAGACCCCCCCAGGCTTAACTGCTATGTGGATGGAGCCTCGATCTATGTAGAAGCAGAGACCCCCAGCTCCCTCCAGCTGGTTAATTAGAGTGGGAGCTGGAATCGACACCCATACTCAGTACCTTCCAGAAAATAACTCGGCACAGATTCTGCTGTCTCTGCAGGCCCAGGGTGAGGGGGACGCTCTAGCTCTCCCTCTGCACATTTTTGCTCCAGAACCTTCTCAAGGGATCCCTGGCTTTCCCATTTAAGGAGGAAGAATCATTCCACAAGTAGTTCTTCGCGGCTTCCCATGTGCCAAGTCTCCCCATAGCCCCAAGTCCTCTGGCTCTGCTCCTTGGCACCATTGTTCTAGAATCTGAGAGGGTTGATGGGAGGGGAAGGACCGCCTCCACTTTCCCCAGATTTTTTTTTTAAGTCTGTCTTTTTTTTTTTTTTTTTTTTTT